TGTCCATTAATATCTAGGCATCTTCCGTTTTACATGCAGCAAGTGAAGTCACATCGGATTACCTCGGCATTCCAAAAAAAATATTCCAGCAATACACGCTGACGATGCTTCATAGTTGCCCTTTTACCAGTTCCTAAAAGGCCGGCAACGCATTTGTGAGCAGCAACATTGAGAGTGTCATTGTTTCATAACATCAGGTGAGCCTCTTGTCCTTTTCTTTATTTATTTAACAGGAGTCAAACTGGCTGGCGGCTGATCTGATGTTAAGTGATGGACATGCCCATGGACCCTTTAAAACACGGCCTTTTAGAAATTGGTACGCTAATATTAGTCAAATTGTAATCTTATCTCCAAACTGACCTTGGAGATAATAAATTTTTTCCCAAGACTTTAGTAATTAATTTCATTTATCGTATCCTCGTTGTTTACGTTATGTTAGATACGATTATCAAATACCAGATCCCTTAGCACAATAAATTCATTATTGTTTGCGGATCTTCACAGTTACAACATATTTACATACAATTATAATTAAATGCGAAAACATGTGGCTTGAAATAGGTATAACTTTGGTATGTTTATTACTAGCAATTTTATTTGGATACGCTGTAGTAATAATAATTTTTAAAATTCTAATCGAACCAGAACCAGTAATGTGCAATTGTAAAACAAGACTAGAAGGTAAAACTGTTCTGGTGACCGGCGGAAATTCAGGCATCGGCTTCGAAACAGCAAAAAATCTAGCCCAGCGTGGTGCAAGGGTTATCATAGCAGATGTTACGAACGCTGAAAAGTCAGTCGAAGAAATCATCAGATTCACGGGCAACGGAAAAGTAGAATACCGACATTTGAATCTCGCTAACTTCAAAAGCATTAAAGCTTTTGCTGAAGACATTAATAAAACAATAGACCATTTGGATATTTTGGTTAATAACGCTGGATGTTTGATGGATAACAAAGCTACAGAAGATGGAATAAATATGATTATGCAAGTTAATTACTTGGGACCGTATCTGCTAACTAAACTGATTTTAGCAAAACTTATCCCAACGCAAAGCCGTATCGTGAACGTATCATCTGGGATGTATTTCTGTGGTGAATTAGATTTGCAAGATCTAGCAGGATTGAAACGGAAGAATTTTTTCAAATCGTACGTCAATAGCAAACTCTGTACTGTTCTGTGGACGAAGGCGTTGGCCAAGACGCTGCCCACAAATGTGTCAGTGTTCTGTCTACACCCAGGCTTGGTGGCAACAAATATTGTTGGTTTTATAAAAAGGCCAATAGGTACATTTATTAAGAAATGCTCAAACGGGATAGTGAGAAATCCGTATAAAGGTGCTCAAACGAGTATTCACCTTTGTGTGGCTCCGAATATAGAAGCATTGTCTGGAAGTTATTTTTCGAATTGTAAAGTGGCAACTACGACCAAAATTATAAACGATACTAATATAGATGGTTTGTGGAATCAAACTGCTCTCTTTTTGAAAGAAAAAATTAGTGGATAAGTGAATAATTAATTTATTATTTCTAGAAAATGTAAATACTAACACAATACTTTAAAATTAACGTTATGTTAGATTGACATTATGTAATAAAAGTCTTATAATTCACAGGTATTTTTTGTTCATGGGCTTGTGGTCTACTAGGATTAACCTAACCAAACAAAGCATTTAATATAACAATGTTTAGACAAATAACATAGGATAAATTGAGAATATGTGCTCTTCAATCTGTAATTTTAACAAAAATAAAATAAAGAAATGTACATCTACTTATTGCTCATCACCTCAATAGCTTGTAATCCTCCCCAGTATATTTTACAAGACATTACAAATTGGGACCTATCCCATGGGATTGCAAGGAAATACTCATGCGTTAGTAAGACAGAGACTACTCCTCCGTCACTGGCCGAAAACGTATCCATTAATATCTAGGCATCTTCCGTTTTACATGCTGCTAGTGAAGTCAGCTCGGATAACCCTGGCATTCCAAAAAAATTATGCCAGTAATACACACTGACGATAATTGTATAGTTGCCCTTTTCTTAACGTATCAAATAGCGATTGAATATTTCGTTCTTACTCGTGTTATTTTGATAATAAACTTGATAAAAGGAACACACCCTGCTAGGTTTTTGCACCCACAGGAGAAAACGGGCAAGTCACCTTATGTTAAGGGATACGCAGCCTATGAACACTACCAATCTTACTATCATAATGATGTTGCCGACCTTCTAAGAAAGTAATTTAGCCTCCTTGTATCGGAATACAACGAGGAAATGCTGCTAGCGTTAAAGGTACACTGCCACAGAGACCAAACTTTTTAAATTTGTTTTGATTTTCTTTTTATTAATTTTTAATTATTAAATCGTTTAACGCTGGCAGCATTTCCTCACTGTATTGCGATACTTATATGTTGAGCGCAGAAAGCGCCAGCTCTGGGGTCACCGGTACTATCTACCAGGCGTCAACTAAAATCTTAAATTAGCGCCTGGGCAGAACCCCCAAAGTACTACTACTACTCTACTCCAAATGGAACAAAATCAAAGTTGGAGAAGACTCTTATATTTGAGCCGTTTTTTATTTTCTGCCTGCTCTGCGGCTGCCCCAGCTATTTTGCTTGTCCGAGGGAGGTGAGACGGGGATAACGTGTCCACACAAGTAGCATCACAATTGAATTTGAATTTAACAAAGACCGTCCTACCTTACGAGGGATCAACGCCCCATCCGGCCGCTTGCCATCGTGTCTAGCGATAGACAATTAGTTATTCTACAATATAATTAAAATACAATCAGTTAAGTAAAGTCAAAAAGCATTTATTCATATGGGTAACTAATGCTTCTAATTTTACATTTAGTTCTCAAATCAAGGGCGTAGACCGGAACAGAAGAACTGGCAATAAACTCTCCGCCACTCTTTTTAATTGCCAAGTTTTTTGTTTTACACAACGTTTGTAAGGATCTGTAACCATTACACCATGTTCCACATGACCTCTTAAGTAATAAATGATAATATAACAAATTAAAAACAAAGATTTGTTCTCTATCAGCAGGAGGCATGGTGAAATAGGAGCACGCATTTACATTCTCGTGGGAACAATACGCATACACAAATTGAGCACATCAGATCTAAGCTCTGTTCACTTATGGGATCACTTCGACACATTGCTCGGTGTATCCCACGTCAGGTACGTTACACCATCTACAACTCGTTGGTCAAGCCACATCTACTTTATTTAATTGAAGTATGGGGCAGCGCCGCTAAAACTAAATTAATAAATATTCAAGTATTACAAAATAAAATTATAAAAATACTGTTCCAGTATAATTATCTTGCACCTACCATAAATATATATCGAGACACAAACATAATGAATCTAAAACAACTTTATATTTATCACACATGTATTCTTGTAAAAAAATTTATAACAAGTTCTCTCCACACTAGTTTAGCTTTCTCTAAACCGCCACGTGTACGAAGTATGCGTCGAACGAGTTATCTTGCATTACCTAAAGTACGTTACGTAAGTTGTGCTGCAGAAGCGGGCTGTTCGGGGTATTTGTTGTGTTTCTCCGAGGGAGTCGGTACGGAATAAGTTTAAGGAATTAAATATTATGACACTATCTGGTCAATATATTCTTGAAGCCTTGTTGTATGTCCAAAAAAATATAAACGATTTTAAAACAAATGGTGACTTTCACCAGTATAATACGCGAAATAGAACTAATTTGAGTGTACGACCAACCAGGCTCCAAAAGATAAACCACTCCTTATATGGAAATTGTATTCGTTTTTACAACAAGCTCCCAAGCGAAATTAGAGAATTATCACTAAATAAATTCAAAGCCCTCGTTAAACGAAAATTAATCAACAAAGCTTTTTATAAATTTGAGGACTACTTAAATGATCCTAATCCTTGGGATTGAATTGCTCCAGTTCAAACAATTTGTATGACAATACTTGGCGATTAAAAAGAGTGGCGGAAAGTTTCTTGCCAGTTCTTCTTACCCGCTCTACGCCCTTGACTTGCGAACTGGTAGTAAATGTAAATTTACGATTAATTTAACTTGACGATTCAAAAGTGTACTTGGTTACCTACTTGAATAAAGATATTTTGAGTTTGAGTTTGACGTACGAACTACGGCAAAAAAATGTTTACCTACGAAGGCGCTCAGCTGTATAATAAACTACCCACAGATATAAAAAATATTACTTCTATCAATTCATTCAAATCGAAGCTAAGTGAATATGTTAAACAAAATTACTTTTAAATTCATTTCTTATAATTACTTTTAATTCATATTTCTTTGTTTACTTTTATTTTTAAATTTATTGCATGTACGGCTATATTTTATTGTATGTAATTATTTTAAGAACGACTACAATGTTATGTTATCTAGAGTATTATTCTCATGTAAGTGACATTTTTTGTCTTTTTTGAGAAATAAAGTCTTTAAACCTAAACCTAAACACGTAGTAAAAATAACTAACATCACCGCACACGAATTCAAGTACGACTAGTCACCACAAGTAGCACCCGTTCACGAGTATAGCACATGGCCAGCAATCAGCCCCCTCGCCATATTTTAGGTACAGAGACAACCCGACGCATAGACGCCGCCACAAGCGAGCACCACACCACATTTAATTTGCTCTTAAAAGGGAAACCGTTAATTCTTCAATGTGTTAATAATTTGTTTCTCATTACTGAGTAATTGAGAATTAATTGAGATTGTAACTAGGACGTCCCGCAGCTGGTACCTTTAACCGGCAGGTACCAAAGACAATCATCTTTGCTACCTCGATTCCTAGCGACATAATAATCGTTTCGAGACTTAACACTGCAACGTGACTACTATTAGAAAATTGTTTAATTACTTTGAATCCTTATTAACATGGCCTCTTTATTTCCTTAAGTTACTAAATTATAAAGTCTTTGTTTGTACACCCTGTAATATGTTCCTTAAATTGTAAAAGAATGCTATGGTAGTAAACAGATGTGGTGCTACTGGACTAAAGACGACGGTAAAATATACATCATTATGATAACCGGGAAGTCAAAATAGTAAAGTCCTTTTTTATGATAAACGAGCCAACGAGACTGCCATCAAAGCCAGCAACCGCAGCCTATAGACTCCCATGTCAGCGGTTGTGTTGCCGGCCTGTAAGGAAGAAATATGCTCTTTTTTTACTGAGAGTTCGTAATGTGGACTGTGAAACGATCAGCCCATAGAATTCTTCAGAACACTCTTTGAACACTACATAAAATCAGATGCTCACTCAAGTATTTCCGATCCAATTCGACTTAGGGTCCTTCAAGAAAAGAGCGTGTCCATGCTCAAAAGGCCGCAACGCACTCGCGAGCACTGGCGTTGAGAGTGTTCATGGGCGGTATCACTTTACATCAGGTCAAACTCCTGCACGTTTGCCCCCTGTTCTATAAAAAATAATTACTTATAAGTCCAAACATGCTTCAATAAAATACAAGAGTCCTTTACAAGAAGAGAATAATATAAGTCGGTCAGTCTTAGAGACCATAAACAATTCCAATCAAGTTTTTTGACACTCAATGTCATGCTGCCGCCCATGGACACTCAATGACAGAGAGCTGGCGTGGGCGTTGCCTATTCATGTAGACTCTTTTATGAATAATTCTGATACCAATTTTCAGGTCTTGGACGTACCGGGGTGCTGATAGCTTGCTACTTAGTGTATTCGTTACGAATACGGGCAAACGATGCAATACGATTAGTTCGGAAGAAACGTCCTAAATCCATTCAAACTAGCGGGCAGATACTATGTGTTCAGCAGTTTGAGCATTACATCTTGCCCCAGACCGTGGTATTCAGCTCCAAGTAAGATTTTCTTTCTAATTTGCGACAATATTGGCATGAAAATTATACAAAGCATAAGTTTATTTTCATTTAATTAAAGTAGGTTACCTTTGTTCGTAATAATTAAATTAGCTCGCATACTTTTAACTAAAGTATTCTACTGAAGTTCTTCTCTTTCTGTCAAATTGTATTTACACCGTGATGTAAGAAAGTATTTATTTAACATAGTTCAGTTTGATTAATTTATTTTTTATGTATATTTAAGCGTGAGAATTTTTAAAAGTTTTTTTAAAGATTTAAGTGTAAACTTTATAATAACATAAATAAACAAAACAATCAGAGCTTCAGCGTGCGACTCTCCTCTGAGGTCGTAGATTCGATCCCCGGCGGTGGACTTTCTTTATGTGCCCATTTTACATTAGCTCGAACGGTGAAGGAAAACATCATTAGAAACCGGCTTGCCTTAGACCCAAAAAGTCGACGGCGTGTGTCAGGCACAGGAGGCTGATCACTTGCCTATTAGATTAGACAGCTACAGAAATCTGAGGCTCAGACCTAAAAAGGTTGTAGCTCCACTGATTAATTTCATCTATATTTATAGTCTGTATGTGTTCCAGAGAACCTCTTATGTTAACTAAAGATCCAAAAACATGTGAATTTACCCTACGACAATACTTGTATAGACAACGAGCTACTTTACACGGCCTGGACGAGAGAGTATTCAGAGAACTACCTAAGGTACAACAAAAAATAATTAAAATTATCTTAAAAGTATTGCTGACATTCGCGTCTGTAGATTTAAATGTAATGCCAAAAATTTTAATATAGTCAAGAGTTTTTAAGTACAATGTTTATACGAGTATAATATAAAAGAAAAATGCCCTCGTGTGGGAACAAAGATCCGTTTTACCTTCTTCATGTTTCAGATTTCTGACAATAAAAATATTCCGTAGTTCCAGAGATGAGCGTTTTACGAGAAACTAGCAAAATTAAAAAATGTATTTTTATTATATCACCTTTTTGAATCTTTTTCTTGTTATGAATAGTTATCTAGATATAAACATTACACAATGTTATATGCTTCTGTAATAGATTTTTAATACAATAACAAACATACATAGGCAAAAATGGTTTAGAAGTTTGATTAATTCGTATTTTATTTATTTATAAAAGCTTGCCAACACTCAGCACAGTGATACCTACATTGGTACTTAAGAAAAATACAAGATGTAATGTGACCAGCACTTATAGGCAAACATAACAAACACGAAGAGAAAAAATACAACGAGTTTTAAATAATTCGTTATATTCTATATAAGGTACAATCTTTGTTTCAGATAGTGTTTTGTATTTGCGAGCGCCTATTAAAATTATGCGGGTGTCGAGACAGCGGTGGACTGGATTATCGCGTTAAAAATAGAGCCTTTTACAAAATGTTCTTATCGTATAAACTGAAACAAGGAAAGCCTCCCGATTTGACAACTCCAGATGAAAATATCAATGGTAAATGAAAATATGAGTTAATAGAATTTGGGAGCAGATTGATAGTTCTTGGCAAAAATATATTTACGGTACTAAAAGAAGTCTTGCCTTATATTTTTAGGACCATGGAATTAAGTCTCTCCACTTACACTTAGACTGCACTAAATACGTACGTTTTTAACGTCCGTTTAAATACCATTGGTATAAAATAATATATACTATTTATGTCAGAGAAGGTACACCGACGTTATATTCCGATTTATCAAAATTGGATTTGTATTAAATACATTCAATACATGTCATACAGCCCAACTAACTCAGAGATAATATAGCATTCTAATCGTAATTTATTTGTTTTTTTTTATTTAAATAAAAGTCAACTGACCTATTAGCTTATAATAGGTCAGTTGACTTGTTCTTACAAAATTCATATTTTGTAATGATTTAAACAGTGGCGCCTATTTTTTGTTCTGGGCCTCAGATTTCTGAATCTGTTACAAAATCATTTGTAATGTGATCAGCCTCCCGTGCCTGACACAAGCCGACCTTTTGGGTCTAAGACATGCCGGTTTAAAAGTCCATTGGTGCACAGCTGGGGATCAAACCTACTACCTCAGGGATGAGAGTCGCACGCTGAAGCCACTAGGCCAACACTCCTCCCTATTATAACTTACATTTTACAAAAAACTTGTACATCCCTAGGAGACAAACCTCCAACCCTCCCAATGATAGAATGGAGGGATCCGGTAGAAGAAGACGTGGAAAGAAACCTGGAGTCTGTTAGCAGATTTACCAGCTCCAGTAATATACCTGCTGTACAAGTGTACGAGGTGCGTATTCCGTATGAAAAAAATAAAATATGTTTATTAATTATTATGGAACATAAAATACAGGTATCACTTATTCCACGTCATTAAATTATTAATCCCTACTCATCGGCAAAGAAGACAGAGGGTGTAGGCCGAAAGAGAAAGCCGGCGTAAAAAAACTCTCGGTACTCTTTTAAAATAGCAAATCATCAAAAAACACTTGTTATGTACTTATCTTGTTATGTACTTATCTTGTTATGTACTTATCTTCATAACTGTCGATTCTTCTAAAGTACTAAATGTGACAGAAAAATACGATCAACGAGAACTCAAAATAAATATTTTATATAATTAACTAAAATCTGCCTTAGGACGTAAATTTTCTTAGGTGACCGTTTTTGTGCAAATTAAAAGCTTACCAACTTAATATTAGTAGGCGTGAGCTTATTTTATTTAAGTTACGTATTTTTAAATAGAAAAATAAAACATACGCAATTTTGGTATGATATTTAAGTACACACACAGAATTAAGCATTCATAATTACTATTTTAAAAAAGGCACAGGCGCTCAGAAACCATGATGGCGCATTTCTAACCAAACATATCCAATGTTTAGTTTCCGAGTTTCCAGCAAAACAATAATTATTTGTAGACATTGAAGTCTTCTTTAATGCCCCATAGGGGGACGTAAAACAACTATCGTAATAAAATCACAGCAATGGTATTCTCACGATAACGATTTTATTTAATTACAGGCATTCTTAAGTGATCATCAAAATCTTCCACAGGAGAAACAAAAATACATAAAACAATTAAGAATTGAAATTAATCAAAGAAGAGAAGCAATGAGTAAAATTGATGAAGAGGTATTCTAAATATATATTACATGCGGTTCCGGCTTCGCAAGAGTTATTAAACTTATTTTAAAAATAAATATAGCCTATATTAGTCCAGATTCATGTAGCATTTTAATAGTGAAAACATTGAGTAGTAGTTTTTGAGGGTCTTCGTCAAAAAATACATCATTATTATTATCGCTGTAATTGGTTAGTACAACTTAATATCTGTGGCTAATAAGAATATATTAAACAGGATATTTGTATGCACCAAATTACACAGTTTATATGTATTAAACTGAACTTAATGAAACTCACAGACTACAAGATAATAGGGCACGATACTATAAACGACGACATAATTATGTAACAAATTGTTCATAGTTTACCTTTCATAGATTGTAGAAGAACGCAAATAATATCTAACCATGCAATATTCATTTTAGGAAGATCCTAACATATTGTCAGCACTGTTATTCGAATGGTTAGAAGGTTTGAAACAGCCAGTACTAGATAAGGAAGATCTATCTAACATAGTCTGTCGCTCCACCAATGTCAACTCGTGTATTATGGCTTTACAAATGGTTCGTATTTGTATTATATAATAAAACATAATAGCCGTTTCCAGTTGTGGATTTACCGGCTTTTAAAATTTTTGGGGTGGCAATTTGGGAACCGAATTTATTTTCCTACCTCATAGAAATCAATAGATTTCTGCATGACGGGTTTCTGATGTTTTACAGATAGTAGTCATTGTACATTCGGTGTAGCAAACTTCAATATTCTAGAGTAAACAGCTAGTTTGCCGCCCCTCAAGGAGCAGTTGACCTCTGCGCGCTCAGCTTCTTATACGAGTGAAAAGAGATAATTGCAGAAAATGTATGTCCCTCTTCCCCCTCAATCAATCCAAACATACTACTGCTTGGAGGCTGCGAACTGGATTGTTAGTTGTTTGATAATCTAGGACATGACAATTGCAGAGGACAGCTTTTTAAATACGTAAACCGCCACTGGCTTTTTCGATAAGTTTTTTAAGTAGACTGTATACTAAATTAGTCACAGACAAGACATAGGACAGATAAGAAATCAATACAGATCTAATTACAAAGTCTTGGGTTGTTATTCAGTCGAGACATAGTATTAAGTGTTACTCCCGTATTTCAAAAACGTTAGTATGCAACGTTTCATAAGATGGAGCTAGCAGTATTGAAACATTTATTTTGATAAAATTTAACTTAAGTGTAATTAGTAAGTTACTGTTTTTCTTTAGTTTCACATAAAAAAAACATAACAGTACAAGGAAGTTTCTTATATTTTTGACCGACGGGTACTGGACAAATACAGCATAGTAGGAAACGTTTTCATATCCCGTCATCTACATTTGAAATTTTTAATACAATTTTCCATTTCGATGCGGGCGATAAAAATAATCTATATTTCCCAGTTCTAACCATTTGTAATTTTTTTTTAGGAAGATATCATACTAATCGAGTATTTACTACGCTTCGTCGTACGACTACGCCCTCTCGTGGCACACAAGAAAGTTGATGTTTTAAAAAGAATACTTGCATCTTTAACACACCAAACAACTAATATTAATGGGAAATTCTTGCCCAATAAATGTTTTCCAAGACTTAGAGATGGAACAGGCAGCCATATCATTAATTTTATGCTAAGAATGATTGTTGAAATACAACAAGACATCGCAAAACCAAGTCGCGTAGAGTCCGATGTTGTGATAGCCCCAAGAAGATTGAAAATAAAAGCATGGACATAAAACTAGTTTTTTTTACTAATAGAATAAAGGATTATAATTTTTAATTATGTCAAAAGCTATTATATTCTTATACCGCTGTTTTAAGTCTTAATTGTGACCTAATTATAAAGAAATTATTTTAAAGATGGCTTTTCTTATAAATGTTTTCAGGATGTTAGGACATCTGTCTCTTAAAAATGGCTTAGCCTATCATAAACACAAACGAGGCATGTGGATGTGAGAAGGAGTGATTGGGATAACTTTCAGATTGTGTTTCTATTATAAGTAATAAGCTTTATTAATTCTGTTGTGTTCTTAAGGCTCACATTTATTATCACGAAATATTCAATTACACATAGGAAATTCATTATTCATATTATTTATTTAAATAATAATAATTTAGATTGCTACATGATCAGATACATTTCAATTTTGTAAGAAATTTCCAAATGAAATAATGATCTTTAAGAAAAAAAATATAAATCGTCAACACCGTGATATAAATTATTACAAAAAATTAATTGCATATTATTATATCAGACATCAATTGCACAATGATTTTTCAGAAGATTTTTGTTCTATCTAATGATTTTTTTTTAATTCTACTGCCAATAGTGCTAATAACTTTCACAAAGTCTCTTGCAACGAAGATTAGCGCCAAAGCTCCTTACAAAAAATAAAGATTTGAGCAAAATATATTGTTTGTATAATTATGGTTAATTTTATATAATATTTGTTGTTATAAAGTCAAATAATAAATTAAAATAATTTTTTGCTGATCTGATTAAATAATTATTTCATACATTACTTTATTACTACATATATCCATGTATAGTAAATTGTCTTCATTAATGTATGTCACACATTCAGTCAACTACAACTGGCAATTCACAATTGTCAACTTCAATCGTATTCGTTTTACTTTTGTTAACAAAAAGTTACACGTTGCTATAAATTGCGAATACGTATATTATTTACGTTGGTCTCGAATCACAATCTTATCAGATTTTATAAAACCATACCGGGATTTAAATTTTTAAATATGTCGTCAACTGAAGATGTTTCCCAACTAAAAGCAGGACACCCTCCCGCAGGTAAATATTACCTTTGTTTACATAATATTCACTAATAGAACAGCCATATAAAATATGTGCGACTTCTTTGTCGTCATTGCATTGACTTGATTTTAGTAAAAGCATAAAAAAATTGTTTTATTCTTTATTTAACCTTGTAAACTTATATGATATCCATCACGATTCTTCGTTGTTATTAAACAAAGAACGCATCAAGGTCATGGAATGGTCAAATTGTTGCCGTGTCCAATTTTATGTCGAAGTTGCAATAATAATATCAATGTTTCAATAAGTATTTACTGTGCAATATTGCACTTCTCTCTATTCTAAATTTACAGATAACTATAATAAAAGAATATTTTGTATGTTTACAGTGAAAGCTGGTGGTATGAGAATTACTCAGCATAAAGTGCCTCATGTTAAGGAAACTAAAGAAACAACGACTGAAGATTTAACTGGTCTCTCTGGCCCTTCCCCAGTTCCGTCCAACCCAGTCTCAATTGCAGGAGCTCCAAACAGAGGCAATGCAGACTTTACGCCGCAGGCGGCACAAGTAGCACATAGTCCTAAGCCTCCAACTCATATTAACGTTAAACCAAGCCCAAACATTCAACAACCCAGGAAGTAGATTATTTATATCTATATATGGTATGCTGCATTATTTACACAACTGTTGACTATATCGTTAAGAATGATAGATAACTATTATAGGTGTTACTGGTTTAATACCTTATGATAACATATCATTAAATTTTGATTCCTTGTTAATCCCAAACTAAAAGCAAATATTAAAATTATATGCAGTTATTGTAACAGTCTACTAAATCGTGTTTTGAAAGATCAACAGCTGTGCACATAATGTTGAACATAAATTGATGAAGAATGTTTTTGGATATGGTTGGGTCTCAAAAGTGACTGTATTTGGCATAATTGACATGATAAACATCAAGGTTATTCGTTTTGTACATTATTTGATTATTACAAAATGTTACTATGTTTGTGTACCATTAATACTATATATATTGGTGACTATGATATAAGAATATAGGCCTACCCATATTCAAAAACAGTCTTAGGTCCATAAATATCAGTGACCATGATGATTAGAATGTTATAATAAGAATGTATTGTTATTATTATGTATATGGATCTAGATTATTGATGCTAGAAACGTAACCACTTTTTAAGGTTATGTTTCTGAATACTGCTACCAACTATATGCTGGCCCTATGTTATAATTGGATTAACTACACATACATTTTCTAAAGTTCTAAAGAAAAATGGCTAATTATAAAAATTTCTTAGCCAAATATGCAACTAGAGTTTTGTATAGAAAAGTTGGGCATAAATCAGAGTTGCAAGCTATTTCAGATTTCATATATTAATTTCATGAATTCTTTTTATAACAAACTGATTGCTGATCCTATTTTTGCAAGTGAAAGTCATGTGTGAGCTGGGAAAAACTGATTCTTATATAACCTAACAAAAATATCCACCATGACAAAAACTAGGATCAACTTTTTTAACATTTAGGTGTTTGAGAATCATTAATATTTTTTGTGTGCAATTAACATTTATTTTTAGCAAGTAGTTTATATTTTACTTCATTCCTTATGCATTTTCTTGGGCACTAAGCCATCATAATTTTATACTGATTTTTTGTACTTACTGGACTGAAATTGGCAGAAGTATAGGTTAAGAATTTTTATATAGGTATATTACCTTTTTGTTTGAAATTTAAAAAAAACATTTTACATCAGACTTCTTAAATCTTGTTTACATTTAGGTCTTGTATTTTTACTTGCCAGACTGTCTGATTTCTTTTTAGTATTAATTTCACATTCCTATTTTTTATCATTTTGTTAACAGTGTCATCTTTTACTTTTAAATAAAATTATCAAATTATAATGTATCTTTTATTTTTAAAAGAAAATAAATAGACTCATCAAAGTGTCTAACTAAAAGTTAGCAATCATTATTTATTGTCTGAAGATCTGCCTTTAGTCTTAGACAGCATGGTGTTAAAAATCTGAAACAAAAACGTATAATAAGTATTGCATTTATTTATTTGAAGTAATCTTATCATTCCCTGTTATTAAAATCCCGCCTCTAACTCAATGGGAATATCTAGAATAGTTAAAGTGTGTACATACATACCTCTTTTTCAGAATCCAACCTAGACTGTCGCGCTGACTGTATATGCTGGGATGTGGTTTCTCCTAAAATATTCAGATTAAAAAAGAGTTATTTTAAATTAGATAAAGGTATATTTACTAATTGCTGTGTTAATTAGTTATAATCATTTGTTATCGTAAAAGGCTTACCGTTATTTTGAGATGTTTCCAATTTTTCAGGCTGAAAAAGAAATTTGGAATGAAATCAACCATAGTGCATAAAATATTACTGGGCAGATACATTATTATGAGTTTCACAAATCATGTGTGTTAGCCTCCTTCCGAAACCTCTAACAGATAACTTTTAGGTACCTATAAATAGTCACTATAAAATAAAACGTTTTACTATACTTGGGTACAGAAAAACGTTACGGCGCGTTACATTGGTGGGGGGTTCCAAAAATCTCCAAAACTTGCGTGACGTAATACTTCAACGCTCCCTAAGCCGGCTGACAAACAACTAAAATGTGGATTACTCACCACATTATCCAAGATTGGTTTGTAATATTTAGACACTCCTTTATCGGTATGAGATCCTACCCCCGGTATTGTTGATGAAGCTAAAAAAATACGTTTTTTGAAGCACAGAAAATAATGACGATGTCGTAACTTATGTGTGAATCTAATATGCAATATACATAAGATCACGCACTAAGTTCTTCTCATAAAACTTAAACGTATCTGTAATATGTATTTGGCGATCACATACGATTTTGAAAATCATTATCATTGAATTTAATTTCCGAAAATATATGTTAATTCAAAACAATGCTATATTTAATTTTTTACTTACACATCTGTTTTCCCCACACGGACTCCCTATAGTTGACCCGTTTAGCCCCACGTTTCCGCTTGCGCCCGCGCATAACGCTCTTATTGCGCGATTCAACAGATAACTTTCGTATCACCCTATGGTATAGGCAACGGGAGGAGGCGTTGGAAACCTGCATTTTACAGCATTAAGGTATTATATATATAAATATTATCTTAATCTGTGAACGTATAACAATTATATTTGATTCTTTGTTTAAAAAATTAATTGGAGCCATTACTTTTAACATTGTTTTGTTATTAATGACTCGTGAATTGTAATGACGTTGTTATTGCTGGGTATTAACGCATATTTTACAATGCACAGAAATTTAATGTCTGCAATTCTATAGTTTTGTAGAGGTGTAATTATTGTCTATATAGAAATTTCGTAATTCCATTTGTAATATTGTCTATGTCTGTGGATCAATCAGTCGCCCTAAAACCGCCATGTAAGACAGTAGATAATAAAGACAGTGAATGCCTTTTTCGGTTTTCATTTGTGTACCTCTAACACTTAAGTTTATTTTACAAGGATCTGTTCTTTATGTTTTCATATCAACGTATGCAACGCAACAATATTGAAAAGCTAAGATTATTTGACCGAACAATAAATACAGCAGAAATCTTTAAAACCTAATTAATAAATTATCTACTGTATTCATTTGACACTAACCAGTTCGCATTGTAAATCGTCAAGTTCGTCCTCCATAATGTCCAATTCGTCTGTATCTTTTGCCGGGACTATTAATAATTTTGTCTCTGGACACTGACTGGATACGACCAGTTGTGATGACTTTGGAAATATAAGACGATGGACTGTCCTACACAAAATATATTCTAATAGAGCTGTAGCTATTAATTTGTTAAAACCCAGCTGTATACTTTTCTATTAACAATTACTTGTACAAGAAAAATTCGTAAGAAATCAATAAACGTATAAATAATAATTATTTCATTATTAATTATTTCGGCATATGACAGAGGGACGCAATTATTGAGTTTTATTCTTTATAATGTGTGTTACCGTGGTATATAACAAGGTGGTTGGAACACCTCTCTAGTAGCCATATCCTGGCACACTCCGTCTAACAGCACTATATCTTCCATTAATTCACCAACCACAAATATCTAAAACAAAGCTAAGATCATTCAAAAGATCGGGGGTTCAATACATGGGGGGTACAATAAAATCTGGCTCGAAGGACCAATAGTCAATGTAAGCCAGTAATGTCAGACTTGTTAATTTATTTTATGTATGCTTACAATATACAAGAAAATATAACATCACAAAGTTTACACACATACACATCAATTATATTATTATATTAGAACATATAAATGTCAAAATAGCAAGGAAAATTAAAAAAATAACTAAAACTAAATAGAAACTTGTGTTGGTTTTAGGAATCCTTTTTATAATGGCGAGTTTAATAGAGATCTATAATTTTAGTTGCTTCAGGTTAAACAAACCGAACATGATCTAGATAGCCTTTTGATATGGACAGAAATCTATTTCTGGTATCTATACCTTAAAAGCCTTAAGGCAAGGCACAAAAGCGTGTTCCAACCGCATACTGATTTTCTCGCTTGACCAGGAATGATAAGCTGGAACGTTGGGTAGCACCATTAGAGATAACTTGATGCCTATTTCACGCCACATTGAGGCTTCTAACCTGTATGACTTGCATATTAAATATGGAATAATTGTCAAAAGAAAAATAGCCAATGGATGGAAAAGATATTGGACACTGGGAGATCATGAAAACAACAGATTTCAGCAAAAAAATAAAGGTCTTTAACACCTGTGTTCTACCCTGCCTTACCTATGGCTTACCTCTAACCAGCACAGGGACATGCTAGCAAACTAAGATATACCAAATGAAAGGAGATGAACAGGTCATATGTTTCGGAGCCCCCGTGAAAAATGGAGCAAAAAATGACGGAATGGTACCCTAGAGACGTAAAACGAAGAAAAGGCCGACAACGCAAAAAAGGAGGACGAACTGCAATTAACAGTAGAAGGAAAATAACTGAAAAGGAAAGGAGAATCTCCCAACAAAAAAAAGTATTTGGAACATCTTCTACGTCATATTTAGAAGCTTACCCCATTATAGGATGTGGGGCAATATTGAATGCATCTTTGACTACTTGTATGGTGATGTAATATGCTTGGACTGCCGAATCGCAGCGTACTGTATAGTTGTAAGGACGATTTGTTAGCACCTGGAAACATAAAAATCTTGAATATCCCTTCGGTGCCTTATAAATTCTCTGGATACCAAAAACTTTACTTTGCGTTTAAGGTATCTAAATATCAAGTTATTATTTAAATCTAAAATTATCTATAATGAGTGATAACGTCTCAAACGTTTAAATGCGAAAAAAGCTCTTCTGACTTGAAATAAATTCATACAAAATTACACTAAACATAGTAATATACAACGTACGTGCGCCATATATATTTCACTGGGTTTAAACCAAGACCTGATAATCTGCAGCCAAGTTAGAATCAAGATTTTCTTAAGCCTCTTTCTTAGCCTATCCTACACTTAATTAAGGTTACTTATACTCTGATTTTTAATTCTGTAGAATTCTGACAGCTATAATTTTATAACATGTCAGCGATTACAAACATTTTTTG